GCAAAATCATCCCTGGTCTGGGTTGCGACCTTTCTGATGAAAATAAAAAGGGTTAAGCAATCATCATCTAAAATTATACCTCCGAATCCCGTATGTATATTCCTTTTCAGGAAATGGACCAAACGGAAGGAATGATCAAGTGCTCGAAATTTCATACTTCAAGGCTCTAACACTTAGGGTACTATAGGTAGCAAGCAAAGAAGACTGCAAGTCAAAGAAGATTGAAAGTCAGTTCAAGCCTGGATTGACCCAAAAATCAAAAGTCAAGAGCAATCAAAAGTAGAGCCAATCAAGAGCCAAGAAAGCAAGTCATAATCAAAAACCTTTTGTATTAAGCTTTCATAAAGTGTAAACTCACGGACATAAATTATAAGATCCTACGAGTACTAAGGTTAAAGGCAATGTTTAGTTATGGGTTGCTAAATATACCCTAGAAATTTGTGAAATCTGTTGTAAAGAAAACAATCATGAAAGTTTGTAGATGTTATACAAAAAGTTACTTGAATACATGTAAAGTGTTATATAAATTTGAAAGTTCAAAATACAAAACTTCCTCAAATTATTCACGAGATTTCTTTGAAATATGTATTTTCCTACTTCTTTCATATGTATACACCAATATGAAGTTGATATGTCTTCTTCATTAGTGTCATTTATTAAAGGGCCCTCTTTGATAAAAATTCGTGTCTATTCAGAAATCATGAAATACTAAAGCATTTTCAAATGCAAATTAAAGAGTAGAACGGAAACTTTAATAAAATTTTCTCTCTCTAACTTTTCTCTTGGCGCAAGTTAACGTGGCTAGCTAACCTGCGCCGGAAGCCATGTGAGGGAGGGGAAGACCTAAACGGAATCAACAGAAGAATGCAACGGATGAACAGCGTTCTTAAGCAACTAGAAATGTAGTGTTAGAACTGTTTGTATCTCCAAAAGGGATACGAATCGAAGAACCAGAGGAAAGACCCAAGTCTAGAAACATGCAAGCTGGGAAAAACAAAGAGGAAGGAGATCTAGCTAGAACCAAAAGGAAAATGAAGGAAGGGATGAATACTCCACCTCCAATGGCAGGTATGGCTAGAGGAGATGAGGTGGGAAGTAAAGAACAAGGGACAAAGAAGAACACCGATGGAACAATACCATGCAATTATGGTACTGTAGAGAAAGCTAAAGAAGATGGCAAGCAGGACAAAAATAGGGCTAAAACATGGGCAAATGTGGTGGGTGGGAACAAATTGGCTATGGAGGGTATGAACCTCCAGTTTATTGCCCCAATTGTGCAGAATAATGAGAAAATTGTGAAGATTGAAGCTGAGGATATAGAGCAGGAGACTGAGAAATGGAAGAATGCTATTGTGATATACGTGATAGGTGAATCTCCCACTATTGGAGCTATGGACAGATTTGTGAATTCAATGGGTAAGTACTCTAAGAAACCTCAGATCTACTATCATAATGAAGATTATTTCATTATGCGATTCAATAGTGTGGAGGAAAGGGACCAAGTATTGTATTCTGGGCCACATACGATTAATAATAGGCCAATTATTATGAAGGCATGGTCGGAGGATTTCAATATCCACGATGAAGTGTTAAAGACAATCCCATTATGGGTTAAGTTGCCCAACTTACCCATTAACTGGTGGAGTATGACTGCTTTAAGCAAAATAGGAAGTGCCCTAGGTAATCCTATCTATGCTGATGAATGTACAACTGGAGCAATTCGAGTATCATATGCTAGGTTACTTGTAGAAATGGACATCACCAAGCCCCTTACAAGGCAGGTGAAGCTACAGGACCCTAAAGGGAAGGAATTAGTACAGGAGGTGGAGTATGATTGGGAACCAAAATATTGCAGTAAATGTTTGAAAATAGGACATGATTGTGATGAAAATAGGAAGCCTGTGCAACAACAAAGAAAAGTGCAGCAGAAGAAGGCAACCAAGGGTAGAATGATATGGGTCATAACTGAAAAAGAAGGAGGCAATGTGACTAAGGAAAATGAGCAGACGCAAGAAAGTTCAGACAATAAGAGGGCTGATCCGGAACAAGGAACTGATGAAATGCAAAGCAAGGAAGCAGGGTGGATCACAGTGGTTGGCAAATCTGCGGCTAGAGCAACTAAAGCCAAACAAAATGAGGACCATAGTGTTGATAAGACTAATGGTTTTCAGAGCTTGATGATTAACCAAAGAAATGAAGAAGCGGGTACTAGCCAACCTAGCAGCCAAGGAGACCAGGGGTATTACCACCATCCTTATTTCATTCCAGTATGAGTGTTATTACTTGGAATGTCAGAGGACCGAATAAAGTGTACAAGCAGAAAGAAGTAAAGGAGTTCATTAGAATAAACAATAAAGCTGTTATAGCATTAGTAGAACATAGGGTCAAAGAAATGAAAACCAAAGAAATAATCAAAAAGATAGCTCCAGGTTGGAAATGGATTTCAAATGCAAGAACAGGAGAGAAAGGAAGAATATGGGTAATGTGGGATCCTAGAATCTACATTTTTTATCCTAGTGAAGTAGATGATTAGATTATTCATGGGCAGATTAGAGTGAAATCAAAACCAGTCAATTTTGGTTTTACAGCACTATATGGTCTTCATACCATCAATGATAGGAAAGCTATGTGGGAGAAGTTGAGACATATCAACGGCATTCAACAAGGACCCTGGCTTGCAATGGGGGACTACAATGCTGTGCTACAGGTAACAGATAGGCAGCATGGAACAGAAGTGCAGGACATAGAAGTAAAAGACTTCAAGAAAATACATGATGGACACAGGTATGAATGAACTGCAGTATGTGGGAAGGGATTATACATGGACCAATCATCACACATATAGCAAGATAGACAGGGGACTAGTGAATACAGAATGGATGATGACTATGCCTAGCTTGAGAATACAGGTGTTAGAGCCACTAATATCAGATCATTCCCCTTTGAAGTTGATGATCATACAGATGCAGACAAAGAAAAGCAGGCCTTTTAGATTTCTAAATTGCATTGCAGACCATCCACTTTTTATCCAACAAGTTGAAATGGCTTGGAAGGAAGGAAGGGAAGGTGGAAAGATGCAAACAGTTTGGCAGAAATTAAAGAAGACTAAGGAATTTATTAAGGAGATAAACACAAAACACTACAAAGGAATTGAAGGAAGAATCAAGGAGACAAGAGATGAGCTACAAACAGTACAGGAAGACATGAGTAACAAAATGCTAGATACTGAGTTAATTGAGAAGGAGAAAGTACCGAAACAAAAGTTAGAAAAATGGGTGATGATAGAGGAAAGTGTATATAAGCAAAAATCAAGGGTGCAATGGCTGAAGCTGGGAGATTCCAATTCAAGGTACTTCTTTGCACAAATGAAGCACAGGAACAATACAAATGGAATCCAAATGATAACAGATGATATGGGAAGGCAGCTAGTACTTGATGATGAAATAGAGGCAGAAATTCTTGGCTACTACAGGAAGCTTCTAGGATCAAAAGATGAATCCATCCCAGCTATTAATCCTAATGTAATCAGAATGGGAACAATCATAAGCAGAGAACAACAAATGAATCTGATCAGACAGGTAACCAAGGAAGAAATAGGAGAGGCATTGAAAGAGATAAGTGACATGAAGACTCCAGGATATGATGGCTTTAATGCTGTATTTTTCAAAAGAGCATGGGGAACTATAGGAGATGATGTAACACAGGCAATTGAGGAGTTCTTTGATACTGCACAAATGTACAAACCAGTGAATTGTACTGCCATAACTTTGATCCCTAAAGTCAAAAATCCCATAAGTATCAAAGAGTTCAGACCAATCTCATGCTGCACAGTGCTTTATAAGGTGATTTCTAAAGTATTAACTAGAAGGTTACAGGGTGTAATGGATGATTTGGAATATAATACTCAGGCTGCCTTTGTACCTGGGAGAGCTATCACTGATAACATTATCTTGAGTCATGAGTTGGTTAAAGGTTATGGGAGGAAAGGAATGTCTCCTAGATGCATGATGAAGCTAGACATGCAGAAAGCCTATGATTCAATAGAGTGGGAATTTATGGAACAAATGTTGCATGCTTTAGCCTTCCCAACACAATTTGTTAGATGGATAATGAGTTGTATGGGGACAGTCACATATACCATTCTGATTAATGGGGTTCAAACAAGACCTTTTGAAGCAAAAAGAGGCTTAAGACAAGGGGACCCTCTGTCCCCTTATTTGTTTGTGCTTGCAATGGAGTACCTGACAAGGAAGCTGAAATTGCGCAACAACAATCCAGATTTTAATTACCACCCCAAATGTGCAAAGATGCAAATCTTGTAACTTGGGTTTGCTGATGATCTTTTACTGTTTTGCAGGGGAGATTTGAAGTCAGTCCAATTATTATTCAATGGTTTTCAAGAGTTCTCAAAAGCATCTGGGCTGAAGATCAACAAAAACAAAAGCTCATTATTCTGTGGAGGAGTCACACAAGAGGACCAAGAGAAGATACTAAATTTCCTGGGAATACAAAAGGGAGAACTACCTGTGAGATATCTAGGAGTTCCATTAAGCACCAGGAGAATCTCTATAGCACAGTGCCAACCTTTGGTTGAGAAGATAGTAGGAAGAATAACATCACGGACTACAAGTTTTTTATCCTATGCTGGAAGAATACAGCTTAGTAAAAGTGTTCTATTCTCATTGCAGACATACTGGGTACAAATATTTGTGCTGCCTAAGAAGATTACAAAGTTAATAGGGGCAATTTGCAGGAGCTTCCTATGGACAGGTGAGAGCAATGTGTCTAAGAAAGCCCTATTAGCATGGGAAAAGATTTGCATGCCCAAGACAGCAGGAGGATTTAACATAATGAATATAGCACTGTGGAATAAAGCAGCAGTATGTAAACACTACTGGGACCTATGCAGAGAAAAGAACAAATTATGGATCCAATGGATTCACAGTTACTACATTAAAGGCAGAGAAGTATGGGGTATTCAGGTGAAGCAAGCATCTTAGATGGTGGAAAAGATACTTAAAGCACAGGAGACACTTGAGAAGGCAGGCTTCAGTTATGAAGAAGTAAAGAGAACCAAGAAATGCAGTATCAAAGGAATATATCACAGGTTGCGTGGCTCATTTGAAAAGGTGAGATGGAAGAAGGTAGTATGCCAGAATGCAGGATGCCCACGATGGACTTTCCTGCTAACATTGACAGCTCATGGTAGACTATACACGAAGGATAGGCTTCAGAAATGGGGCATGCATGTAGAAGTTGAATGTGTACTCTGCAGAACAGAGAAAGAGAGTGTTCAACACTTGTTCTTTGAGTGTGAATACTCAAAATCACTATGGAACAAGATACTAGCTTGGCAAGGAATGAGTAGGGAAGTACAGGGATGGGAGCAAGAACTGGCATGGGCTGTATACATAGCCAGGAAAAGGAACCCAAAGTCAGAACTATTCAAGTAGCCTTAGTTGCAACAGTGTACTATGTATGGCAGGAACGTAATGCAAGAATCTTTCAGGCAAAAACAAGGGGATGGGAAGCAATATGCATGAAGATTGTCCAAGAACTTCACTACAGGAGTAACAAATACATAGAAGCAAGGAAGAATAGTCTTAATTGGTATCCTTGTAATAGATAGATATATACTTATGATAAAGGAGGGATGGGGAACATAGAAGAGTAGGATGGAATGTACTAGTTTTGGTTTCTCTTGTACATATTTCTCCCTGGTAAATAGAAATTTTAATTACCAAAAAAAAGAGTAGAATAGAAACTCAAACGAAATGTTATATATATTAAACTTGGACAAAACTAAGTATGAACTTAGTTAAAACCAAGGCACTTTGATAATAAACCCCAAAATATACCAGGGGTAAAAACTTGCCAATTGTTCCAAAAAAAAAGAAACAAACTTTCCAACTAAAAGTTCACAAAACACTATGGGGCAGGATCTAAAGCAGTTCCATCAGCACCAAGAGAGGCAGAATTCAATGAGACATCATCAGCAATGGGAGAAGACACAACTTGAGCAGAAAAGGTTTGAACACCAACTTCACCAGGAGTAAGTTCATCACCTTCGGGAATGCCGACCTCAGGTGAGGAAAAGTTCTGACGTTGCTGAGTTTTTTCAATAGTTTCCTGAGCTTTTGCAATCTCAACAGTCAAGTCAAAGCCTTCCTGTCTAGCCTCCATCAAAGTCTCAAGACGCGTATTCAAAAAAGCCCAACTTACATCAAGCGTTGCCTTATCTTCAAGGGCCTCGTAATCTTTTTCCCATTGCCCAATTTCAGCCTCCAACTCTTCCCTCTCAGCCAAAGAAGCATCATAAGAAGCCTTCAAAGGGGCGAAAGATCTCTCCAAGAACTGGACCTTGTCTGAAGATGCACGGAGGTCTTCTTGAGCCTGAGTGAGCATTTGAACAAGCTCCCCGACGTAAACCTCCTTCTGATTAAGCAAGTCTTTCAAACCCCTAATTTCTTCGGTAGCTTTAGAAAGTTGCTCCACAAATGAAGACTCAAGAATGTCTTTGTCTTTGCCACTTGACTGGAAGAGGCTTTTTCAATTGCCAATTCTGATGCCATCACTTGTACTTGCTGCTCCAATGCACATTTCTCCTCATCCAAAACTTCTTTTTCCAACTGAAGACTCTCGTACTGTTCCCTCCAGTTATCTGCTTCCGTACGATAATCATTGACTAGCTGCTCGGTATTGACAATTCTCTTCATAAGCTCCATGCCTATTAAATTGATCTACACAAGAAAAAAAGAAGTGATTATCAAACAAAGATAAAAATCACGAGGGAAGTAAAAAAAAAAAAAGCTAATGCTTGTACCTTCAAAGATGAATGAACAATATCATTCATCCATGTTAAAGAACTGTGGCTTTCCAACTTGGACTTCTTAACTGGGCCAATTAAAGGTTTTAGCCATACATCAGCTTGGCTAGACTTTTTCAAAAGATTACCATCCTCGGGTACTTCAATGGTAACTTTTTTCTTCCTATTGCTACTGGAAGAACCAACTTCAACACGAGAAGTGGTAGCAGTAGGGACAATTGAGGAAGTGAAAAGTGCCACAAGAGGAGCAGTAGCAGCAGCGACAGGAGCAAAAACTTGAGGACCAGTAGGTGCGGACATTGGGAAAGAGGCAAGAGGAGCTTCTTCAGAAACAAAGTCAAAATCTTCATTATCAAACCCACGAGAAAACAATTGATCAATAGAGTCACGAGGTGAAACATTCATCTCCTCATCAGAGCTCACTAAAACAACACTTTCAGGCTCATTCACGGGAACTAAACTTGGAGGAGGGGTGACTTCATCATCCGAAATAACGCACCTTCTAGCTCAAGGCCTGCGCACTAAGGAACCCTCTTCACCATCAGAGCCATGAGCTCTCTTAGCTTTTCTCTTTGATGAGGAATTTAAAATCATTTCTTGAGCAAGAGACAAAGAAAGTCTTGATGAAGTAATAGACGTGGCACTCACACCTCGAATGAGAAATCCTAACAAAGGAAAAAGTTAGAAATCCCCAAGTAAATACGAAAGAAAGAAAAAATTAATTAAAGGAAAAGATACCATGAGTTTTGACTTTCCAACCAAACTTATGAGAAAGGTATTTCCAAGATTTTCTTTTCATGGGGACAATCGATAACAGCTTCTCTACCCAAACACGGAAGTCAGGTATTTCATCAAAAACTTCCATGGTTCCTAAAAAGAGAAAAAAAATGTCCATGAGATCGTCAATTTCTTCGTCTTTCGTAAAAGAAGAAAAAATATGAAAAAGAACTTACATGCAAAATTCCACTTATCTGGAAAAGGCATGCTCTCTTCACGCACTATACCACTTGTGGGAGCAGCAACAAAACGGGCATGCCAGCCACGGTCCTTATCATCTTTAGGGCTAACCAAAACCCTTTTGCTCCTGGCAGCGAGAGTGAAAACCCCGGAGCGGAACAACTTAGGAGAATATAGATGAAGCAAGTGTTGAGAAGTGAAGGGTAAAGAGGCCAAATTAGATACGTATCTTAAACATGCAACGACTCTCCATACAATAGGACCAATCTGTCTTAAGCAAACGTTGAAGAAGCGATAGAATTCTATGATAACTGGGTCGATAGGGAGTCTGAAACCTAAAGTAAAAGGATATGTGTAAATGAAAGAATAACCAGACAGGAACGAAGTTATCCTTTCGTTTGGACCAAGAACTAAAATTGGAAAATCAGGCTTCCAGTAGCATTCTCTTCGCACAAGAGAAATCAAACCATCAGTAATTTGAGAAGGGTAGACATCAACACGATCATGGGAAGTCATAGAAGTAACTTGGTTCCTTATTGCTTCACGATCAGTGGAGAAAGAAAATTCCGCAGGGATAATTTCATCTACTGTTGGTTCTTGAAGGGGTTCACCCGATTCCTTATTTTTGACAGAAGATCTATGGGCTGAAGAAGCCCTAGTCCTAGATGAAGAAGCGGTAACAATATTAGGCTGAGAAGTAGAACCACGGATAGATAAAGACCCTAAGCTACGTAACCTACTGCCTCTTCTACTCCTAACAAGAGTAGTTGAAGGAGGAAGTTCTTCTACAATGATTGTTCTATGAGGATTGGGGTTTGGTGAAGATAGGATGCAAGAAAGTAATATGAACTGAAGAATAAGAACAATTAGAGGAGAAGGATACTGTAGATTGAAGGTTTTCGTGAAACTAAAGGCACATGGAGTATTTATAAGAAGGAGCAACCGTCATGTAAAGTGAGTCATGATGGAAACGTCATAATGAAGTGGACACTTTGTGACTGACGTAGCCGCAAAAAGCCTTAAAAAGCGATGAAGAATCGCAGACCCAATCGACGGAGGCCACGTGGCACATGCATTAAATGGAAGTGACATACGATGCGTTGGTTATGAAGAAGACATAATGATACATGGGAAACGACGACGAAAATTCCCGCCATAAATACGTACCACTACCCAAATATTCAATTGCATAATATCGGCAAGTGGGGGGACAATCTGTATTAGTAAAAAATAAATATGACACGTGGAATTATGTGTAGCTTATGAGCACGTGATTTTTGCCACGCTTAATTTACTCCTATAAATTCATTAGAATTAGAATTTTTTTTTTCTTTATTATTTGAATTTTAGGAATTAATTGCATAATTTTGTGTCTCGTTTGCATTTTTGTGTGCATTTTTAGTTGCTATAATTCATAAAAAGTACAAAAATAGTACGTTTGCATTTAGAATTCGATTTTATATTTTTTGTCAATTAATATTACTAAAACAAGAGAAAAATAACAAAAAATAGTCTTTTCACAATTTTAAATTTTACACTTTACATTTTTTGATTTAGTTTCCTCTTAAATTAGGAATTAGTTAACTAGCATTATCTTAGATTTAATTTGGGACTTTTATTTTACATAGTAAAATCATAAAATACAAAAATGAAAATAAATGAAAGAATTAAAAAGGAGAAAAAACAAAGAAAACAAATTTAAGAGAAGGTGGTCTCAATAAAATGCCCAAATTGGGCCAAAAATGGTTTAGCCCACCCCCAAAACCCCTCTGATCCGGCCAATTCAGGCCCAACCCGTCCCCTATGACCCGGTCTAGCCTCCCTTTATTTGAAACGACGCCGTTTAGGATCAATCAATCCTGACCGTCTAGGTTTCTCAATCTAACGGTCAGGAACTGATAAGATTAATGATATATAACTGTCTGAATTCCCCCCCTACCCCCTCACTCACCGTCTCATACCACCCCTGTTAATTCCGGCGTAACGCCGCCTAGAACCACCGACCTCCGCCCACCGGAAATCGCCTCACGGCGGTTCCGGTGGTCCAAACGACCCCACCTTCACACCATAGAACCTCCTCACCTTCCTCTCTTTGAATCCACTCTTCATTTTCTTCAAATCATTCCCAACTTCTTCGAATTTTAGATCGAAGAACTGACCCCAACCCTAGTTCACCCAAATCACCTCAAATTAACACCCTAGCCTCGCCTTCACCTCCTCATTCCAAATATCCAAACACCTTCCTTCGAATCTGCCTAGAATTTGTCGAATGTCGATTTTTTGGGCTAAGAACCCTAGCGCCACCACAAGACCCCTTGGTGGCGGCGCAGCCCCAATCAACCCCAAAATCATACCCTTGAACCCTTATCACCTCCTCTCCATTGATCTATGCTCAATTGCTTTCAAAAGCCCCCAATTGGTTCGAATTTTAGATTTAGGGCTTACTGTCAAGGCCGTTTGATTTCCCAGGGTCAGCTAGTGTTCGAGGGGTTTTAAAATCGTGTTATGTGTTTGTTCTTGATAAGAACAAACACATAATACTATTTGAAGACCAATTTCGAGATTAGGCGAGTTCGTAATCTCAAAAAATCAGTAAGTTTCTTTTTTCTTTGTTTGATTTTCTTTTTATTCTTTGCTTTGCATAATAACTTCGTTCAGAATTCTTAGGGT